GGATCATTCACTATAGCACACACACAGAGGGTGGATCATTCACTATAGCACACACACACAGAGGGCGGATCATTCACTATAGCACACGCACAGAGGGCGGATCATTCACTATAGCACACGCACACAGAGGGTATTCCAGCGTGGCAGAAACATAACTCCCTCGCTTGTGCCCCTCCTCCGGCCACTGCCCCTTTCTCTGTACAGGAAGACCCCAGGAGGCTGGTCCAGAGATGGTGATGGCTTCGACCAAGAGGGGAGCAGTGGGAGCCAGGAAGGGAGGCTGGTGTCCCCGCTCACTCTGTGCCACTCCTTACTCTTCTCTCCTCTCCTTCCAAATCCGTAGTGTTTGAACTCTGAATTGCTTCTTTGCTAAAGTTGGTCGTGTCCCAAACCTCACAACTGCTTGATTTGGACCAGTGCTTTGCGGGTTTCATTTTCAAAGTATTGGAACACAACGATACAGTGATCATTTTTGTTTTGTATGTTTTTCTTACATTACCCATTGATTTTCTCATAGCACCGGATTGGGTCCTGCTTTTAAGTGTCAGGCTGGAATTGATTGGTTTTTCACCTTGCTGCTCTTAGACGGGTTATAGACTCCTTTAGTGACACAAATTGCACCGTGCTTGTTGAAGATTAGTCCAGCAGGAGGTTGGGGGTCAAACGATGTGGTAAAAGGTGAAAGTATTGAATTTGAGGTGACAGTTGGATAGTCGAGCAGAAATGGGGTGGAGTGGGGGGCAGGGGGGCTGTTAGGAAAGTAAAACTAGATCTTAGTAGCAAGGATGGTCTATTAATCGGAATTTACCCTTTGCCATGGAGAGGTGGTAGTTGAATTTGAGGGAGGATAGTGGTTTGCTTATTCAGTGAGGCACTGGTTTTATTGCTTGCCTATTAAGTGCTAGGAACATGCGCTGAACCAGACAGGCAGAATTCTTGGTCTCAGGGAGCTGGGAGAGGGCAGGGTGGGTGGGAGCGGGGCAAACAAGAAATGAATTAATGAGTGAGATCATTTCAGAGCATTAGTGCTGAGCAGGGCACAAAACAGGGTGATGTGAAGCAGTGTGACTTGGGGGTGACGAAGCTTCTTTAGTAAGAAGGTTGGTAATCTGGAAAGGCCTCTTTGAGTGGGTGACGTTCTACTGGGGGCCTGAGTCATGGGACAGAGTACTCAGAGATACCAGAGACTAGGAGATACCAGAGACTAGGTTTGAATCCCGGGAGGACTCTCACCTAGCAGGTGGAGCTGTGGAACCAGTAAAGGAGAGAGAGAGAGAGAGTGCGCGCGCGAGCGTGAGCAGGAGGGCAGGGACTGTGTTGGCTTCACACACTAGTACAGACTGAACATTAAAATGACAGGAGCCAGGATTGGGCTCTACCACTAAGAATCCCAAGAAGGCTGGCAGCCATGGCCCCGCATCCAGTGAATCCGAGAGGAGCTTGCTGGCGTGGGTTTTGCGATTCCAGATTACCAAGAACATCCACTCACGAGAGACTGCTACGCGCAGAGACCCAACTGCTACAGGGTTCAGAACCAGGGAGAGAGGAAATAGCCTCTGTACTTTTGGACCCTCTGGGAAACCCCTTACCTTAGCTCATGTATTATGGCCACCTGTGGGAAAATTGCTTGGCTGGGCTCCTGAATTTACTTACTTCCCCCCCGGCCTCTTCTCTGTCACCAACCTGGAATTCTGGACTCCTTTGCTTTCTAGTTGCTAGCTAAGACTTGCAGCTTCGCCCTCCTGTTTGCTCCTCTCTGCCTGCCCCACAGCTGCAGGCCAGCCCTTCCTTCCTCTGCCAGTGAGACCAATTGCTGAGACTCCAGCCTGGTCCAGGCATCCAGACTGTAGAAGGGTCCCAGGAACTCAGAGGCTCCATGAGATAAGCGTTGAGACCGGGACAGGGAATAGAAGTGAGGAAAAGAGAAGGTATTTTGATGGGCCAACAAGATTTCGTTTAAGATCTGCGGCTATTTGAAAGCGAAGAGCAGGAAGTCCGTAGGGGCGGGGCGTCATTGACGGTGGAGAGGCAGAGGGAGCAGTTAGAGAGAAGGTAGGAGAAGATGGGATCCGAGGCAGAGTGGAAGGGGTGATCTTAAATAAGACGAGGTGGAATGCTTCTTAGCAGAGCAAATGAGCCAAAGATTCTTGAGTTAGGAGAGAGAGGTTTGGGAGAGCGTACGGTGAGTAAAGGCAACGTGTTCTGCTTCGAATCGCATTCACAATTGGTGAAGGAATTTTGGAATCACCGTGCTGGAGGCTGTAACGCTGAGGAATAACCAAGTGATGAACCAAGAGTTGCTGAGCACCAGCCAGGAAGGAGCCAACCCGGTGAAGGCAGCTGCGCTCTGTGTCGCAGCTGCTAGGGTTAAGGTTAACCTTTGCTAATGCGGAGCTTGCGCTTGCGCCATCATTCTGTCTCCTGATCCTCCCAGGTGTACTTCAGTGTCAGTGAAAGCGGGTTTGTTTTCCTCTCGCCAGAGGTTTGCCATCAGTGAGTGCCTGCCTGTGTGAATGAGAACTTGCCATCAGGCACCTTGTACAGAATTTATTTAATTGGACTCACTGTGTTTAGAATCTGGGCCATTCCGACAAATGAAAGTGCTCGTACTGGGCTTAGCCTTTGATTTGCCTGCGGTGGTTTCTCAGGAGCATTGCGTTTTGAGGCGCAGACCTATCCAGGTGCCGGCTCGCGAATGTTTTTGAACAGCCTGATCCCAATCTGACAATTCTCAGGGAGAGATTCCCTAGCTACATGGAAGTCAGTATCAACTAAGGACCTTTTTTCCCCCTCTCTCCACATTAGATTGAAAATGGTGTGTTTGTAGCCACCGCCCTGCAGGAGCGCACGATTCTGATGCGAAAAGAGGGCGAGTCTGCCAAGAGCATTAATGAGATGCTTCTGAGCAGGCTCTCCCGGTATCGAGCCTCCCCCTCGGCCACGCTGGCCGCCCTGACGGGCTCCACCATCTCCAACACTCTGAAAGAGGATCAAGCAGGTAAGCCGGCCGGCTCCTACCAGATCTGTGTACCATTTATTGAGCACTTACTATGTGCCCCACAAAGCTCTTTACATAGATCATCCTGTCCTCTCCTAAGTCATTGCCCCCTTTTCCTTCCAAGCTAACACATATTGTGGGCTCTGGCATCTGTCATGAGTGAAGACAGCCCTGTCTTTAACTGTCAGTGCCCTTCACCATTACTGTTAGGACAAAGTAGTTGCCTTCATGGTTAGAATACGCATCCTGAATGTCAAAAACCCGACCCTTAGAACCGTCTCCACTCAACACAGTCTTGATCAAGCAAGCCAGAGTCACATCATCTATAGCAGGCTTTTTTTTTTTTTTTAATGAACCACTCAAGATTTGTCCCTGAACATTTTAAAGGAGACAGATTTGTAAAAACAAAACAAAATAAATAAAGTTAAATAAATAAGTGAATGCAATAGAAAAAGGCCTATGCAGAGCAGTCTTGCTCCCACCATCCTGGGATATGCCCCTCTCCAACAGATTCTGCCCCTCTCCAACACCCGGGAGCTCTGGGGACCCTGTGGGGTGAGCGTTGGATGGTCAGCTCCTCATTTCCCCCCAACCTCCCCTATCCTAACCCTATAGAAACTATACATCCAGTTACTCTCTGAATTTGGTGTGCATTTAATAAATTTAATGTAATTTTATATTCTAATTCTTTACCATCTGACAAGCTAAGAAGAGAAAGTGTTTATGGTTCATTTATTATGAGGCTCCCAAATCAAGCCCACATTAGAATTTCAGGGTAATATTTGACTTCTACGGGCCTCTGTGGTAGCAAATGTAAGGAACTTGTGCATAGTAATCATAACGTAGGTTAGTGGATAGCTTGGTGTCCAGGAAATACTTGGTGAGAGGATGGCCATTTATTTCCGGAAGGGAGCGTCTTTTAACAAGAAGGAGGGTTGACTTGGAGTTGTTCCCTTGGGAGAAAATGGTGTCCTACCCTGAGCAGTAGAAATATTGATGGAATGTTCACTGGATAAAAAAATCTGGGTGATATCAAAAAGGACCTCTGAAGGCAAAGGTGTATTTAGAAGTCTGTGGAAACTGGTATCTGTTTCCTAGACCTGTGACCTCATTATGCTCTCGTTCACACAGAGCCACGTAACATGGTGTTATTACATAAAAATTTGCCAGCTCTTGGATAAGTAAACGTTGTGAAAATGCATTGAACATACACAGGGACCAGAACTTTTCAGTTTTTCCATCTTAAAATAAAAGTGATAAATCAATATTTACTACCATGTTACTAAGAGTATTTTTGGTCTTGGTTAACAGTGTTATGCTCACAAAGCTGTCAATTTTAAAATCATTGTTCTCTTGCCCTTTTAATTTTGGTTTTCTTACCTATGGAAGTGGATTTATGTTACAGAATTTAGTTCCTGAATGAGGACTAGTCGGCGGGGGTGGGAGGGGGTAGAAGGGGGCACAGGGAACTTTTTAGATCAAGTGGGTTTGGTTTCTCTCATCAATTTCCTAATCTCAGAAATGCCCTCTGAAGACGCTTTTACATTGGTCTGGGCCACGTTAGATTTGCTATCTGGACAGATTCCTAAGGAAGGGCCCCCTGCCTTCCCTTGATTTCACCGGTCCTCACTAGGCAAGTGCAGAGAACAATCCTCACATGTCCTCCAGGTCTCAAACACACTGTATGCCTCTGCATTAGAAACTCTTCTCCCTAACGATAGTGTCAGTCTACCAGTGAAGCTAAAGCATCTGCATAATGGCGTGTTGGCAACCAGGCAGGGACACAGTTATTTTGTGTTAGTTACTATGACTTGTTGCAGGCTGCACTTTTGACCAATTTCACATCACAGCTGTTTGTGATGCAGGTAATCTCACAGACCTGTCAGAAAGTGGTAGAAAGACCTGTCATGGAACATAAGTTTCCTGGGTAAACACAAGCCCCAGGGCTCTTCCTTTACATCGAGCTGGAGTCCCTGCGAGGACTGGTTCTTGTGAACAGATTTGGGGAGACCTTTCAGAGCATGTGTATGCCGCCTAGCAGGGTGGTTAGGGTCAGGCTGCAGAGCCAGAAGACCAGTAAGTTTACCTTAGCTTTCTACCACTCTGTTTTCCTCCTCTGGGTATGCACGCCCGTGTTTTAATTTGGGACCCACTCCTTATACCCCAGTCTGTTTGAGTCACCAGATTAAGCTGCGTATCAAATGTTTCTGCACTCAGCATCTTCCTTCCTCTTACCAGCAAACACGAGCTGTGGGTTACCCCTGAAGATGCTTCGGAAGACGCCCATCTACACCTGTGGCACCTACTTGGTGATGCTGGTCCCACCGCCAGGGGGCTCAGGCAGCTCTGCCACCCGCTCTCTTTTCGGTGGAACAAGTGGTTTATCATCCTTGAAAAGTAAGTGAAGTTTATTTGTGGCACCTTCCCCCAGTTGTGCCAAACTCTGAAATGGAATATGTGTAGTTCTGTCAGAGGACAACCTCCGATAGTCATGTACTTAGAGGGCACCAGGGAGAAACCAAAATGTCATTGTCAATAGATGCCACATACGGGTATGAATCTTAACATTCTGCAGAATTACTAGACACAGAGAAAGATGAGACTATCTGCTTCTGTACAGTTCATGGCCTCAGAAACCCTAGATAAGAGGTCACTATGAGTCAGAATCGATTGGATGGCAGTAGGTTAGGATTTTTGGTTTAGCCCTCTTTTTACAACCATGCATTTCATTTACAGCCATTAGTGAGCTTTCACACACAGTGTTTTGTTCTTTTGGGTTTAGCATTTGTATCTGCATCCCTCAGATGGAAACATTTCACATTCAAAAAAAGGTCAACTCTTGCAAGATGGTAGTTGGCTCCATTTTCTTCCCACTCCTCCTCGCTCTCATCTCTGGCTGCTGTGAACCACTGTCATGGCCCCTAGAACTCACCAAAGTTCCCGTAGTGTCTTACACGGTGGTGGGGACAGTTTGGTCCAAAGTCTGAAGGTCAGGCAGAGGTCAGCCAGATACCAGGGCTAGAGGACCCTCTCCTCTTGGCTCTTGCTAGGGATGAACTCACACCCTGTGCTTCTCAGTGGACCCATTTTTTTAAAAAAAATCATTTTATTAGGGGCTCATACAACTCTTATCACAATCCTCACACACATCAATTGTGTAAAGCACATTTGTACATCATTTTCAAAACATTTTCTCTCCACTTAAACCCCCGGCATTAGGTCCTCATTTTTCCCCTCCCTCCCTGCTCCCCCCTCCCTCATGAGCCCTTGATAGTTTATAAATTGTTATTTTGTCCTTTCTTGCCCTGTCCGACGTCTCCCTTCACTCAGTGGACCCATTTTTTATGTGCCAGGATGGCACTGCAGGGAGTCTTCGTCACAGTGATTCACAGGTGAATCCCATGGCTGTAGGATTAGCTACATCTACCTCCACCTTCTTCTGAGGCCCATGCAGGGAAAGGTCATTTGGTAGGAGTTACCTGGTGCAATCAGATTTCACCAAATGTATTTATCTCTTGCCTACCCCAGCACTGTGTCTTTCTTACGCACATAGGACCTGGGAGCCTCGGCAAGATGATTCCAGTGGACACTGGCCTCCTACTAATCTTAATCAGCCAGGCCTTTCCCAGCCCACTCCAGAAACCGTGTTCTTTCTCCTCTCCGCGGTAGCATGTAGTTCCTTACATCCATGGTAAGGAATAGTCACTGAGACAACCAGTAAACAAAGAGTGTTGTCTGACTCACACCTTCCACTAAGGTGAGAACTCCGGCTCATCACCTTCCTGTTGGTTAGCAGTTAATGCCCTCCACAATGGGACCACACCGCAGGCTTATGAAATTCAGAATTTTTATAACTCACATAAGGGGTTATAGCTGGAAGGACTGTGTTAATCAAGCATAACTCACATCTCATTGTATATATTTACCACTTTTTCTTATTCATTCATCTGTTGATGGGCATTTGGGTTGTTTCCACTTTGGGCCTTGTGAATGTGCAGCTGACACGGTCAGGGTGGAGGGCCAGTGCTGGCTCACACGGTAGCTCTGCCTTTAACTGCCTGAGCAATGGCTAAGTTGTGTCTGAAGCGGCTGCAGTCTTTTGCGTGACCACTGGCAGTGGGTGAGGGTTTCCATTTCTCCTCACCCTGCCACCGCTTGTTCTTGTCTGTCTTGTGAGTCAAAAGTCAATCGATAAGCAACTGGTAGTGGGTGGGAAGTGCTAGCTATCTCACTGCAATGTCCATTTCCCTGGCAATTTAATGATGTTGAGCATCTTTTCTTTTGCTTATTCGTATATCCTCTTCAGAGAAATGTCTAGTCCTTTCCCCATTTTTAAAATTTGTGTTATTTGGTGTGTTTTTTCCCTTGACCATTAGGCTTCTCAAACACTCTAAACCCATTCATTTATTTTCGCAAATGCTGGTCTTCAAGGTCAACTTCAGTCTCCTTGGCATGGCCTTTCACTCCAGTAGGATTGACCCCTTGTGATTAAAGCGTGGTGCCCTTCTTTCGTGAGGTTATAGCTTATGTAGCGGTCCGTTTTCAGACCGGCCAATTAGAAAACACTCCGTCCCTTCCGAGCCCTGCCCCACAATTGGTTCTTGCAAGGGGAAGGACAAGTGCTTGCCTTCAGAGACTCATCGTCCAGCTGGGAGGAAAAGGGAGGACGAAGAAACAAGTAGACTACACAACGTACGACCGCGCTGCCGAAGCAGAGAGAGAAAGAAAGGCTCCTGTGGAAAGAAGTCACTTCACGAGGAAGGAGCACTTCAACTTCTTGGGTTTAAGTTGTGAAGAAGGGCGTGGCCAAGAGGGAGCAAGGGCCATGGATGGCCAGCTCAGTGACTAACACACACAC